TGATGCCTAAGAAAATAAAACAAATTTTCTGAAAGATGTTATATAAAAATCATACATAATGTTTAAAAGAAAATATAATTTCAAGATTTGACTGATTCTTGGCAGTTTAAGACATGATGTTTAAAGATGAAATTCCAGGAAAATCAACAGAATGTGTTGTAAAATTTCATAATATAATGAAATGTTAGCAAGAGGGTTTTCATTCTGCTACAAAACTTTGGAGTTCTTTTGAAAAGGTGGCTACTTTCATGGGAAGATAGTGACCTCTGGAGCAGAAAGAAAGAAATAATGTGCAAAGAAGCCACTGAAGTTTCAGTCAGCAATCTGGCAAAATCATAACTGAAACATGTAACAGAGGCTGTGCAAGCCTGGCAGTCACCTTTGTAAAGAAGGAGCCTGAGACAATGCTGACAGTGACTGCAATTTTCAATGTTTTTAATAGTATTGGGACACTCGGTTTGTAACAACTCTCAAATAGAGATATGCACGTCTGTTGTCTCTGCTTTTTAAAATATTACAAATACAAATAGATAAAATAATATAAAATATTTATTATAATCTAGCACATCACTGCTTAAAATAGTTCTCTGGATATTAAAAAAGGGAGTGAATATTAAATAATTGTTTTAATTGCAAAGAAAACTAAGTATCAGCTGCTTTTTTAAGGCTGTGGGAGGAAAACCCAAATCTGAGTAACTAACTACATAAATTGTATTACAATAAAAGCCACAGATAATTTACTCGACAATTAGAAATTCTGTTGAAAGTAAATATATAAATAAGATAAACACAAATATATAAATAGTCATAAATAAATACAGTAACACCAAGTCTATCTTCTTATGATACGCAGAAAAAACTGCTCTGAAAAAAAAAAGTATTTATTCAAAAGAGTCTTTAGAAAAAAATATTTTAAGTCTACTTAGGGAGTTGTATTTTAGTACGTCTCAATATTTGAACTGCATATAACATATTTTAAGGCATTAACAAGAAAAAAGGATATAAAATTAAAAAAGTTATCAACTTGATTTTTAATTAGTATTTCAAACATATCTCATAGCACTGATAGAACTGTGAGCTGTTTCATAGGTTAGAACTAATTCTTGATAATTCTCATACTATTTGTGTAATAGGCAATTAACTTTTTCATTTTAGAAGTGTTTTGACATGACTGTAGAGTTATCCAAATATGAATTGAAAATAACACAAATTAAAAGAGACAATATTATGAATCGCCTACAAAAAACCAGAGACCATTTTAAACTGTAAATATCTTGAAAAAGATATAACACTCTAGAGTTGTTATATAGAAAATATATAGAAAACATAATAATTATCACTAGCATTTGAACTTGAAGAAAAACATTATCCCTCCAGTTTCAGAATCAGTTTTAAGTTATATGGAAATTTGCTTCACTTTGATTATTTAGACTGGCATAATCCACATTAGCATTTATTATCAAAAATAATATATTATTATCAATATTACAATCATTAAATACTATAAACAAATAAATTAGGAAAAATGTACATTAGTACCTAAGAATAATTTAATCTTGCAAACTTTTTTTGACATCTCCATATTCTGAAACACTGATGTCTGTGAGAAATGTGAGCAGAATCTATGCAAATATCAGATATGTGCCTTCCATCTTTCCCATGAAAAATCCCCCATGAAGTCAACTTATAAAGTTAGAATTACATTCCATGTATGCTTAAGAGACATTTATTAAAGACCAAGAGCATTATGCTCCCTGGATTCTGTCTGCACTGAGTGCCTGTATGTAGTGGTATGGGCACACAGTCCACAGTCTTTGCATATTAAATTTACAACAGACTTTGATACTTCCAAAAGACCCTTGTTTTCCAAAAGGTTATGCACCTGTGTAGTGGAAAGGTTCTGAAAGAAACATGCTCATATGATTCGTATTTACCTTTTCATACACCAGTAGCATATCCTTCACAGTTTCACTCTCTAGATTCAGCTTTTCTTCCAGCAGAGGGCTGTGTTTCTTCATGGAGTCTATATCCTCCCGAATCTCTCAGTTGGCTGTTTCTTAAGTATTTGGGTTTGTACCTGTGGCAGCTGACAGCTTTTACTATGAAAATGCCACCGTAGCTCCAAGATATCTTGAACACGCATTTCATATTCCATTAAAAAGGTAATTAGCACAAAAACTGTGAGTTTCTGAATGACAACACAAATACCTAGTGAGATCAGGAAATATGTTATCATAATGCTAAAACTGTGGACTACTTTGAAGGCTGAAAAAGGACATTGGCTACAAAAGATCACCAAATATTGCATTAGGATTAGAACTGTTTTATAAACTCATACTTAATTATCCTAGTATGTAAATCAAGCAAATGTTCAAAGCCAGGGGTGGTTTTGGTTTAAGAAGAAAATGAAAACATCTAGCCTTAAGGCATATCTAGAGGAGGCTATTATGACACAAGAACAGCTTTACCAAGCTTCCTAGCCTCCAGCTATGTTGATGTATGACATATGTTGATGCACAGGAAGCACAGGGCAAGTATAGATCCCACAACCTTTTAATAAGAAAACTGTTTTCAGTTCAGGGACACTTCATGAACTAAACATGGTTTCAAAAAAGCTAAACTAAGGATACAAACTCAAAGCTAACAAACAAAACATATTCATGTTGCCACACAGAAGTATGTCAGTCTTAATTCAGTTTGCTGCATTTAATTTTCTGACTTTAGTATAAATTTCCAATGGGTCTTTACAAGAAAATACGTGACTAGACCATTGGTTGCTGAATAACAACATATATTTTATCTTGCTTAGAAATAAAAAAGCTTATTAGAGATGGTGTTATACAGCAGCTGATGGAAAATTTATTGGTATGAAACTAAGGAAAGTAAAGTAAAATTATCAGATGAGAAAAAAATCAGATAACATCTCAAGAGAAGTAAACTTGGCCATAATTTTGAGAGAGAAGCATATTTTTGCTGATGTAAAAAATACTTCTGAAAGTAGCTGTAGAATATTCAGTGAAGTTCCTCAACAGTTGATAAATTTTGCTATGTTAACAAGACATAAATCACAAATTTGCAAAATTGTAATTTTCTACTAAAAGTTAGAAAGACATTGCATGAACAAGTGGCTTGTCTCCATCGTACAAAATGATGTTGAACATTAAGATGAATAAAATGTGGTTTACACTGAACTTTTGTTCTACTTCAGAGAAGGTAATTTCTGAAGATAGGTTACATCACTGTAATTACCTGAGTGTGCTACAGGACACAGATACAGCAGGAGTTAGTAACAATGGAAATCAAGGTAAGTCTGAAGAAATAACAGGATTCAGTGTCTACTCTGAATAGGTCACACAAACTCTTAATTAATCTCCTGGGTTTGTAATACTTAGATTAGGGATAATTATAATATCCCTGAGGGTCTTTTCTCTTTATCCTCAAATCCACGTTAGCATATTTTTTGTCTTACGAATAATACTATGAAATGTTAAAATCCTGAAAATTACAAATTTACTCCAAGGACATGACACCATACTGACATAGCCCACTGGTAAATCAAGGGAGAAAAAACTGGTCAATTTTCACAGCCAAATTTCATGCTGCTTTATTTTGCTTTAAAAAAATTAAAAATAATACTGTATCATTGCTTATATTAACAGAACTGAAAATGTGCTAATTATATTCTACTATTCTAAACTTTTGATATTTATAGAAAATGCTAAACAGTAAAGAAACAGAAATGCCTAGCAACACAGAAAGATTATTTACAACTGCATTCGCCGTAGGTAGGAACATCAAAAGTAAAGAGTAACACCTCTGCAGCAAAAATCCTGAGCTACTGTGCTGAAGAATGAAGATTATATTATCAACCTTCTCTTACTGCATTTCTTTACTTCTGTAAAACTGACCTTTCAGTTGCCACAGGACTTGCTCCTGAAAGCATTTTCTATCCTGTCAATGATTTTTAGTTCTGATACTTTATCCAATGTCCTCCTCTCTTTTTAAGGCATCTTAAATTGTTCTTATGAGGCAATTGTTTTTAAGAAAAGCAATCTCTGCAAACTGGTAGCACCTTAACACAGGTTTCTAATTTCCAAGTCAAGAGTTAGCCATTGGCTAAAACAAACAAACAAACAAACAAATATTTTTTTCATATATAGTTAAGGATGAGCACTATCTGACATATCACCTTCATGGACTGGGGGAGGAAGCATTTGGGACTGTCTTGCCTTCATTATACACTGATCTTCACTTAATGTTTGCCCATCAGTAAACACAGCTACGGAGACTCTTGCACTGTCACCACACTCTGGACTGTGAGATATTTGTCAAAAACCTCAGGGTGATATGCATCAGAATATGCACTAGAGTATAATCGTGATTTTATATTTGGGAACTTACTGTGATAAATTACACTGTTTTTCTACAAGCCTAAGTTCAGAGAGCACTTGCTTTTGCCCATGAGCCAGAACACAAACAGCAAAGAACACAAACAGCAAACTGCTAAGTAGCTCCTTTCCCCCTCCCCACCCCTTTTTTTTCTTTAATTCTATTGTGTTCATCACAAAAGGTAATAGTAAACATCTCCAAAATCTGGGATTTCAAGGATACTTATCAATGGTTATGTCCATTTCTATTAAATAAATGAGTACTTTGTTCAAATTTATCATGGCTTAATTTTTCTCAAAAGAAATTATTTATTTATTTCTGGTTTACTCTGTAATGTAATTCAAATACATTTTTTTAGAATTATGTTTTGGCTTCTCATTTCTTGCCCCAAACAGAGTATTTGTTATCATCTTAAGTGTCTTCCTTACACTTACGTTATTTCTCAGACATCCCTTTTTTTTTTCCAGATATTTATTCAAGTATACCAGATTCAGAAGAGTAAATATTGTACTCCTATTACAGTAAACACAACTGTAGTCATATCATAATTTTTACTCTTGGTAATGAATTGACTGAAAAATAACAAATATTCTTAGTTTCAATACAAATACCTTTTTGCACATTTGTGAGGAGTTGCTGAAGCCTCCAAAGTGATGTACAATCAATTTTCATGCCGAGCTTTTTCCTTCACTATTTCATCAACTCCAAAGCTTCTTCTCCCTCCTCACGATCAGCCTCCAGCTGCTTAATTAGCTGAGTAACTTCCAATAGCAAAGCTTCTGTTTCCTGCTTCAAAGTTAACGTCTTTGCCATCTTTAAAAATACATTAAAAATATTTTGCATGAAAGCTTAATCATATGCTCTTTAGTCGAACTACATTCTCAACACCAAGTTGGCCTGTTCATAGCAAGCACAACTGGCTAAATTTCTGTCCTTAAAAATACATTATAATTGTTCCTTATGAAGGCTTAAACACACACTCTTAATTCCAGCTTCTTTCTCAGAATAAAGCTAGCCTCTTCACCTCTATCAAGGCAAGCACAACTGGTTACAAACATAACTTTCAGTTATGTTACCTTTCAGTAGCATTTTCCTCCAGCTTATTTCCAGTGCAAAATGCAACAAAAATGTATTAATATACATGGCACAAAATTTTCATCTTTGTCTCTTTGCTTGGGTAAGTAATCATCCAAATAACAGTGCAAGTTCCTAATTGTCTCAAATTTTTCAAGAATACTTACTTAATTTCAATTACTTCACTAAAGCCTTTGGAGGCCTAAGAATATTCAGTATAATATTTCAACAGCACTGTTTTGCTTGTGATAAATGAAATCATCATTCCATTCTGTGAAATATGGCCATCAAAAAAGCCTAGGGTTTTTTTGGGTTTGGGTGGGTTTTTTTGTTTGTTGGTTTGGTTTTTTGTTTGTTTTGTTTTGTTGAGTTTTTTTGATAAAACATTCTTTCAGGTCATCATCCATTGTCCTGATCTATAAAACATGGGAGTTATATCAGCTAGAGTCCAAGACATTTCTGTTTTGATTCCACAGTTAATAATTCCCTAAATTATTTTGATTAAAAAGTGCAAGCATTGAAAACGAGGAAAACGATTTAAAATCTGGAATGAAATTTCAGCCTCATTACTGTCAAGAAAAATTTTATCACACAATTTACTGCAGATGGGATTGCCTCAGGCTAGTAGCAACGCTTAAAAGGTTGCACACTGCTTTAAAAAAAATGCACATAATCTCTTTAATATTTAAAACTTAATTAAAAAATGTATATTCTGACTAAAGACACAAACTGTATAAAACAGAATTCTATGTTGGGGTTATGCTACAAATACCCCATAACAGCAATGCAGTTAGTTGTTTTACAGAAAATAAATGAAAAAAAAATAATTCTAGAATTTTCAACAACCAACATAACTAGTTTAGCTGGTTCGAATCCCAGATGGGTTAAAATACAGTATGGATCTAAATACAGAAATGTAAATTATCTTCTTGCAAATAGGAAGACTTAATAATACTTAATATATAATTTAAAATGTATGTGTCTTTCAGCTTGACAGATGATACACACAGATTTCAAAGGATACTCACATCATTTACATAAGACATGGAGCAGGGAACAAGCGACCACTATTACAAATGCAAAGCACATATTAAAAGAGGATAAGTAACTTTTATCATACAGCTGAGTATTATGAAATATTTTTACCTTCATAAGTTACATCAGCTTCTTTAAAATCCAGCTTAGGGGATAATGATGACCAGATATCTTCAACAGAGTCAGCACTGAACTGTTTTGTTATCCTGTGGGTAAAAACCCCATCACAAAAAAATTTAGACTGAATTTAAATTAGCTTTGTTAAATAAACATTACTTTCACTAAGTCAAAATTTCCTTTCCTAAATCTTAGACATTTAGATGCTGGTTAATTAAATGGAATAATTGCAAGTCTTATGAAAGAATTATTAATATCACAATTCTCATACAGATGCATTTCATATTTCTTTACAGAAATACAAGAAACAGATTTCTTTACATTTTGTACTTACACAGATTTTCAGTTTTTGTCCTCATACCAAGAATTTGCCAAAGAGAAACTGTTGTAGAAAAGCTGTTATTCTTTCCAAGTTCTAAACATGCAGGAGCAATATGTGCTGTACTTTTCAGACTCTTCTAAGCAGCAGAAGCATCTAATGCTTTATCTGTGCAGAAACAGATACCTTGCACAGCACATCAGATATAGTTTTAGTTTTATCAGTTTAAGGGAAGTCATCAGTTTAGGGTCAACAATAAAGAAACAAGATTTTTTTAGATATTTGAAAAAAATACAGTCAAGGCATAAGGCTTAAATAGGATTCGAACAGATAAGCATTTGAAATCTGAGAGACCCAAAAGCAGAGAAGAGGAGGGCTTTGTTGAAATGAGATCAGGACAAAATTAATCTGCAAGGGAGAAGGGGAAAGAAGTAGCACAAGAAATCAAAGAAGAACACAAGCAAATCATAGCTCTCATGAAAACTTAAGGGGATCATTAGCCTATTGGAGCTGAAAACAAGGGAAGGAAAGACAACTACCACCCTCTTATGTCCACATGTGCAGCTTAAAGGGCACATGCAGATCCTTCATATGCAGCTAAGATGAAATGGAACCTGTGGTCACTGTTACATCACACATACAAGCATAACTTGAACATACCTATATTTGAAAGAACTCCACTTGGAGGAACTCCACAAAATAGTCCATTTGCCATGAAGAAACAACAGTCAACAAGTCTATGCCAAAACCAGACCAAGAGAAATACTATTGAAGTCTTCCTAGATCAACACAAAATACATCAAAAGTACAGGGAATAGGAAAAAAGAAAATCTGAACAGTGATGGAAAATAGGAAGCATTGGACAGGAAAACTGGGACCTGAAGAGATATCAAATTAGATACAGAAGCAGGAGTTTGATAAACAGGAATTGGATAAGTAGGCAAACACAGAATAAATCAGTAGGTGTATCTTACATGAAGTAAAAGTATGCAGGGAAATACATGATTTGTTGAGCAAAACAGTCAGGACAACAAGCTCAGTGCACGAGGTACAAAGATTAAAAGAGGAGTTTGAAGAGGAGAATCTAACTAGAACTATGTCATAAAGTACCCTGCATCAAGAAAAATTAAAATCACAGACTCAGACTTATTTTGTGTGCTTTCTGAGAACCTGGGTTTTAAATATACTTGCATGGTATTGTATTGCATTGTATTGTATCCTAGGCTTAGGAAAAAAATAAGTAAAATTTAGAAAAAACCTGCATGAGTTTTTAGTTTTAAAATTACATTTTAAATTTGCATTTTTAAATTAATTTTAATTTTATAACGTTTATAAACTCTGTATATATTCCAGATACCTGCAGTATCTACAAAAAAAAAGCCCAAATCTTCAACTTGCTATTTTTCATTTAGGATCTATGTTCTATTTTGATTTTAACAAGCATCCTCTCTCGCTCTCTAACTTTAAAGATACATAGTTATAAACACTGGAGTATTATTCAAGGGAATTTCGTCACTCAAATGCGAAAAGGTTTTTTGAACTAACCATAAATCGCTAGCAAACTACCCTGAAAACACAAAAATTATGCATTTAATAGTGGTATGAAGTATAGGAAAATCAGGAAAGAAAAAGATTTTAAAATCTTGGTTTTTTTTCCCCATCTTATTACAGCATGTGATGAAGAAATGGCCATTTCATTCAAACTTTTTTCCTACTCCCTTTCTTAATTACTTGTCTCCCTTTGTTTTGCCAAGCTGAAATGAGGGTAAATTGATGTCACCATCCAAAGGCCTTAGACTATTTTGAATCTTTGTATATTTAGTAACAAGAACTTAGAAAAGATGCGGAAAATATGCACGAGACTTACAGAAACAAGCTAACATTAAAATTAATAAACATCTGGACATGTCAATGCTTATCCAATTCATGTAGATTGATGACAAAAATATGACATTGAAATAATTTCACTGTTTTCAGATCATAGTAAATAAAGGTGAATGAGGCAATATAAATTTTCAAATCAAATTAATGTCTATACTGTAAATTAAGATGTGACTGTAGTTCATGTACCTTGGATTCTTCTAACATCTCTGTTGCAGCTGCAGAAATTTCCCTGCAGAGTATTTAACAGCATTTGTGGAATACTAATCTAAGACAGCTTTCCTGATGTGCTGCTATGATGACATTACTGCCAGTATTGCAGATAAATTATTTAAATATAACTTGTCTGTGCGGGCAGCTATCAGATCTTCTTGCTGCAGTGTAGACATATGCAAAATTTATTAACATTTGGAAAACACTTTTCCAGTAAAAGTGAATTATTTAACTTATACTAATCATGTTCTCAGAGGAGCTAATGGGAAGCTTCTACAATGATATATATAGGGCTGTTTCTTCACCTACCTACCCATTTTTTTAACTTGCCTTTATTCTTGCTTCTATTAACTTGTGCGAATCTGTATAGACTAAGAAAACATCATGTACCGCTAGAGAAAGAACCACAACATTTTCATGTCTTTCCAAATTAAAGAAACTTTTCAATCAAGGAGTTGTTAAGTACTGCTCATGAAAAAACATTTCTTGCTGTAAATGACAAAAAATGGCACACAGCTCCATTTGACTATCTACTCAAGATTAGTAACCAAAACTATTTTGCAGATGATATCACTGAGTCAGTTTGACTCTGAATCATCATACATGAATATATTAATCTTTATGATGCATGGATATTACATTATGATATTGTGCTATATTAATTGTAATAAGATAGTTCCATTTGCCAATACTTTTAAGTACATTAAAAACATCTCATGACCAGTAAATTAAATTCTGGGGCACTATTTTGGGGAGTACATAAGACATGAAGCTAAAAATTTTATAAAAATCAACATAGTAACCATAATTAACTATATATGTTCCTATGAAGAGAAAAAGGAATTGGCCATTTTCAACCATAAATGTACCTGTTAAAAGCATTTTTCCTCCTTTAATTCTAACTCTTGAATTTGATGCATAATTTTGTTAATACAGGCTGATGGAGTATTTACAAAAGCACAGCTATGTCACCTTGTGGTGATCCACTTGTTCTTGTCTGGAGAAAGAAAGAGAACACAGAAGGTTCCTAAACATTCAGGCTGATATCAGATTTTCTCATACCTGGTCTTCTTCCTTTAATTTGCAAATTTGTTAGCTTTGGTCTTGAAATTGTCTACCAGAGAATGTAACAGCTACATCTATTACTACGCACACAATTTGCTCAAAAACTTATCCTTTTTTAATACAATCTCAAACACAAGTCATCATCATGGCTAGGCTTCGCGAACGAAGATTTGGGAAGGCTCTATCCACATTTGCTGCAGGCACGCTGGTGGCTTATGAGGCCAATACGTGACAGACAAATCCGATTGCAAAAGGCACAGCAGAAAGACTCCTTAGATGGTGTATTCTGCAATACACGGTTCTTTCTGCGTTGCCTTTTTTCCTCGAGGGTGATCCTGCGTGTGTTCTCAAAGGAGACAGCTGCGTTATAGATGGTGTGTCTCCAGGCCTCCCGATTTGAGGCCAGAGTAGACCAGTTATGGTGATCAATATGGCCAAGGCTGAGATGTTGTTTCAGGGAGTCCTTGTATCTTTTCTTCGGGGCTCCTCTCATGCGGCAGCCAGTGGCAAGTTCACCGTAAAGCAAGATCTTAGGGAAGGCGGTGGTCCTTCATCCTGGAGACGTGCCCTGCCCAACGCAGCTGTGTTCTCATCAGCATGGCCTCGATACTTGTGATAGCTGCTTGCTCTAGAACAGATGTGTTGGTCACATAGTCTGACCAGTGGATGTTTAGGATTGTACGGAGGCAGCGTTGATGGAAGCGTTCTAAGAGACGCAGGTGGTGGCGGTAGATGACCCATGATTCAGATCCATATAAGAGAGTAGACAACACTATGGCTTTGTAAACACTGATCTTGGTGCTTTTCTTCAAGTGTTTATTACGCCATACTCTTTTATGGAGTTTTCCAAAAGCACTATATGCCTTTGCTAATCTGTTGTCTATCTCTCCGTCAATCTTACCATCTGAGGAGATGAGGCTACCGAGGTAATTAAACTGTTGGACTGATTTGAGCTCTGATTGACCAATGGTGATGTGGGGATGATGGGGGACATCCTGAGGTGCAGGCTGATGGAGGACCTCTGTCTTCTTTAAGCTGACCTCCAGCCCAAAGAGCTCAGCAGCATCTGCAAAGCAGGATGTTAAACGCTGCAGGGCTGCTTCTGTGTGGGCAACAAGGGCGGCGTCATCAGCATAAAGCAGCTCCCGGACAAGATGGTTTAAGGTCTTAGTGTGGGCCTTCAGACACCTTAGATTGAATAGACTTCCATCAGTACGGTATCGAATGTAGATACCGTCCTGATCATTGAGGTCTGCTGTGGCCCTTTGGAGCATCATGCTAAAGAAGACGGTGAATAGGGTAGGAGCGAGAACGCAGCCTTGTTTCACACCATTCTTAATTAAAAAGGGCTCAGAAAGTGTGTTGCCATATCTGACTTGGCCATGCTGATCCTCATGGAGTGAGATAATCATTTTGAGGAATTTAGGGGGACAACCTAAACGTTCCAAAATCTGCCACAGACCTTTTCTGCTCACAGTGTCAAAAGCCTTGGTGAGGTCGACAAAGGTTACATAGAGACCTTTGTTCTGTTCCCTACACTTCTCTTGCAGTTGTCTGAGGACAAATACCATGTCTGTGGTGCTCCTGTTGGCTCTGAAACCACACTGACTTTCAGGAAGGATACCTTCTGCTATAGTGGGTATTAGTCTGTTCAAGAGTATTCTTGCCAGGATTTTGCCAGCAATGGAGAGCAGAGTAATACCACGATAGTTTGAGCAGTCAGATTTAATTCCTTTCTTCTTATACAAGGTGATGATGACTGCATCACGAAGGTCAGATGGTAGTTCGCCGAGTTCCCAACAGCGCACCACGAACTCATGGAATTTGGTGTGGAGTGCAGGGCCCCCATGTTTCCAGATTTCAGGTGGAATTCCATCAATCCCAGCTGCCTTGCCGATTTTCACCTGCTGTATGGCCTTGAGGGTTTCTCCTAAAGTGGGGGCAGTATCCAATTCATACTTTACTGGTTGTTGTGTGATGGACTGAATTGCTGAGTCTTGGACTGTGCGGTTGGTACTGAATAGAGTCTGAAAGTGTTCAGACCATCGATTCAGAATGGAGGTTTTATCTGTCAGAAGTGTTTGACCATCAGCGCTGAGTAGAGGGCTTTGTACCTGGTATGTAGGCCCGTATGCTGTTTTCAAGGCCTCATAGAAACCTCTGTGATCACCTGTATCTGCGCATAATTGAGTTTTTTCAGCTAGATCAATCCACCATTTGTTCTGGATGTCACGGAGTTTCTGTTGGAGCTTGCTGCACGCAAGACGAAAGGCTGTTTTTCTTGCGTGACAGGATGGCAGTGCAAGGTGT